TCAACCCCCCTGTTCCCTGCCCTCTGATCGCCCTAACCCCTATCCACACCCCCGACCACCCCCCTTCCCTCTATCCAACCCCTCTGCCCCCTTACCACACTGCCTGGAGCACCAGTGGCTGACGGCGTGGCTGCACCATGACAGGCAGCCGTGCTGCCCGGCTGGAGCCAGCCACGCACTGTGCAGCGCAGAGCACTGGGTCAGGCTGGACTCTGCAGCTGAACTGCCCCAGGAGCTCGCCGCCCAGAGCATTGTGCCGGCGGTAGAGTGAGCTGAGGCTGCGGGGGAGGGCCGGGGCCTAGCCTCCCGGGCTAGGAGCTCAGGGGCCGCGGAGAACGGTCCCGCGGGCCGGATGTGGCCCGCAGGCAATAGTTTGCCCACCTCTGTCATAGACAGACACTGACTGGAGACCTAAATATAGTTTGTTTTGTATATTTGGTTTAAGGAAGATGGAGAAGAATTTGTCCAATTATTTATCCTATATAGGATCTAATACCACACTCATCACTGTAGTACATGAGCGCCTTCTCATGCCGACACACTTTTTTGAGGAGCCTTTGATGGAAGAAGTTTTGTTCTTAAGGCTTGTTTACCCATGGAGTAGTTCCTGATTAACTCCATGTGTGGACATTCTTATTCCGGCATAAGAGTACCGTGTTCCTGTTTAACAAACGCTTAAACTCCACGTGTAGACAATCCCTAAGATTCCTTATTGGCCACCAGATTCCTTGTGTTATGAGAAGGAGTAAATAAAATTTCCTTATTTACTTTCTCCACACCAGTCATGATTTTATAGACCTCTATCATACCCCCCCTAGTCGTCTCTTTTCTAAGTTGAAAAGTCCAAGTCTTATTGGTCTCTCCTCATACGGAAGCCATTCCATACCCCTAATAATTTTTGTTGCCCTTTTCTGAACCTTTTCCAATTGCAATATATCTTTTTTGAGATGGGTGACCACATCTGCATGCAGTATTCAAGATGTGAGCATACCATGGATTTGTATAGAGGCAATAGGATATTTTCTGACTTATTATCTATCCCTTTCTTAATGATGCCCAACATTCTGTTCGCTTTTTTGACTGCCGCTGCACATTGAGTGGATGTTTCCAGAGAACTATCCACAATGACTCCAAGAGCTCTTTCTTGAGTGGTAACAGCTAATTTAGACTCCATCATTTTATATGTATAGTTGGGATTATGCTTTCCCATGTGCATTACTTTGCATTTATCAACACTGAATTTCATCTGCCATTTTGTTGCCCAGTCACCCAGTTTTGAGAGATCCTTTTGTAGCTCTTCGTAGTCTGCCTGGAACGATCTTGAGTAGTTTTGTATCATCTGCAAATTTTGCCACTTCACCGTTTACCTGTTTTTCCAGATCATTTATGAATATGTTGAATAGGACTGGTCCCAGAGTACAGACCCCTGAGGGACACCACTATTTATCTCTCTCCATTCTGAAAATGGACCGTTTATTCCTATCCTTTGTTTCCTGTCTTTTAACCAGTCACCAATCCATGAGAGGACCTTCCCTCTTATCCCATGACCGTTTACTTTGCTTAAGAGCCTTTGGTGAGGGACCTTGTCAAAAGCTTTGTGAAAATCTAAGTACACTATATCCTCTGGATCCCCCTTGTCCACATGCTTGTTGATCCCCTCAAAGAATTCCAGTAGATTGGTGAGGCATGATTTTCCTTTACAGAAACCATGTTGACTCTTCCCCAATAAATTATGTTAATCTATGTGTCTGACAATTGTGTTCTTTATTATAGTTTCAACCAGTTTTCCCGGTACTGAAGTCAAGCTTACTGGCCTGTAATTACCTGGGTCAGCTCTGGAGCCCTTTTTAAAAATTGATATCATATTACCTCCAGTCATTTGGTACAGAAGTGGATTTAAATGATAGGTTACAAACTACAGTTAGTAGTTCTGCAATTTCACATTTGAGTTCCTTCAGAACTCTTGGGTGAATACCATCTGGTCCTGGTGACTTACTACTGTTTAGAATCATAGACTATCAGGGTTGGAAGGGACCTCAGGAGGTCATCTAGTCCAACCCCCTGCTCAAAGCAGGACCAATCCCAAACGGATTTTTGCCCCAAATCCCTAAATGGCCCCCTCAAGGATTGAGCTCACAACCCTGGGTTTAGCAGGCCAGTGCTCAAACCACTGAGCTATCCCTCCCCCGTTTAGTTTAGTTTAGTTTAGTTTATCAGTTTGTTCCAAAACCTTCTCTAATGACACCTCAGTCTGGGGCAGTTCCTCAGATTTGTCACCTAAAAAGAATGGCTCGAGTTTGGGAATCTCCCTCACATCCTCAACCGTGAAGACTAATGCAAAGAATTCATTTAATTTCTCCACTATGGCCTTACCGTCCTTGAGTTCTCCTTTAGCATCTCGATTATCCAGTGGCTTCTGATGTACTTTAAAAAAATGTTGCTATTACTTTTTGAGTCTTTGGCTAGGTGTTCTTCAAATTCTTTTTTGGTCTTCCTAATCATATTTTTACACTTCATTTGCCAGAGTTTATGCTCCTTTCTATTTTCCTCACTAGGATTTAAATTCCACTTTTTAAAGGATGCCTTTTTGTCTCTCACTGCTTCTTTTACTTTGTTGTTTAGCCACGGTGGCACTTTTTTGGTTCTATTACTATGTTTTTTAATTTGGGGTATACATTTAAGTTGCGCCTCTATTATGGTATCTTTAAAACGTTTCCGTGCAGCTTACAGGAATTTTACTTTTGGCGTTGTACCTTTTAATTTCTGTTTCTGTTTTTTGTGTGTAGTTCCCCTTTCTGAAATTAAATGCTACAGTATTGGGCCACTGTGGTGTTTTCCCTTCCACAGGGATGTTAAATTTAATCATATTATGGTCACTATTACCAAGCGGTCCAGCTATAGTCACCTCTTGGACCAGATCCTGTGCTCCACTTAGGACTAAATCAAGAATTGCCTCTCCTCTTGTGGGTTCCAGGACCAGCTGCTCCAAAAAGCAGTCATTTAAGGTGTCAAGAAACTTTATCTCTGCATCCTGTCCTGAGGTGACATGTACCCAGTCAATATGGGGATAGTTGAAATCCCCCATTATTATTATTATTGAGTTTTTTATTTTTATAGCCTCTTTAATCTCCCTGAGCATTTCCCAGTCACTATCACCATCCTGGTCAGGTGGTCGGTAATATATCCCTACTGCTATATTCTTCTTACTTGAGCATGGAATTACTATCCACAGAGATTCCATGATACAGTTTGGTTCAGTCAAGGTTTTTTGCTTCATTTGATTCTATGCTTTCTTTCACATATAGTGCCACTCCCCCACCAGCATGATCTGTTCTGTTCTTCTGATATATTTTGTACCCTGGTATTACTTTGTCCCACTGATAATCCTCATTCCACCAAGTTTCTGGGATGACTATTATATCAATATCCTCATTTAATATGAGGCACTCTAGTTCACCCATCTTATTATTTAGACTTCTAGCATTGGCATATAAGCACTTAAAAAACTTGTCACTTTTTAGCTGGCTGCCATTACATGATGTAACTGAATGAGACTTTTTTTCATTGGACTGTTTTTCAACAGATCCTACCTGTATTTTATCGTCTTCCATCCTCTCATTCTTATTAGGACACAGGGAATCTCCATTTATAGATACTCCCCTAAGGGGTGTCTCTGTCTAAACCACATGCTCCTCCGCACCTGTCAGATTTCCCTTAGAAAAGTGATTGCATGGGAACTGCAGATATCGTTTACAGCTTGGAAAGAAACAGATCAGAAAGAGTGACTTACTGAGTTTCTAATTTGGGGGTAGGGATGTGGCAGCCCAGCATAGTGTTACAATGGCCAAATTCTAAAAGAGCAATCCCCATCCTCGGCACAACCACCACCACCACCCCTTTGATCGGAGGCCTTTTCCGACGGTCCGAGGAAATACAAATCTATTTTTTCCAGCTTTCACTTGCACTGTGCAAACTGGCACACTGGCTTTGTTTTCAGGATCTAATAGATATTTTGCAAGCGTTGTAACAAAAAAAGGACAGCACAATTTCTCTAAAGCTAATGACTTCTGGACCACCTGCACAATAGACTTCTTAGCCTAGAAAATATTTAAAAATATAGCTTCATGTCATCTGTAAGTCACAGCTGAAAGAATAAGCTTCCAGAAGTGAGTTATACTGCAGGTTAGCTATGGGAGTTGCACCAGGTTGATTTTGATGATGTTGTTGATATAGATAGATCACACGCACAGGGTACCAACTTGTCACCTCCATTAATAGTGATGGCCAAGATTTTCGGAAGTGTCAAGTGATTCTGAGTGCATCAATTTTTGATTGTGTTATTTGAGACACTTTACAGGGACCTATTTTCAGAGGGCACGTGCTCAACATTTTCTGAAAATCAGGCCTCTTTATGGTTTCCCAGGCTGGATACCAAAATTTACTTGTTGTGTCTAAACATTTTGACTGAAGTGCCCATGGGTTGCTTCTAGTCCACTGAAGTCAATGGAATGACTCCCATTGACTTCAACAGGTGATAGGTTATGTTAATTTTTTTACATTTTAAATAAATATATATTTTTTAAATTAATGGAGATATCCTATCTCCTAGAACTGGAAGGGACCTTGAAAGGTCATCAAGCCCAGCCCCCTGCCTTCACTAGCAGGACCAAGTACTGATTTTTGCCCCAGATCCCTAAATGGCCCCCTCAAGGATTGAACTCACAAGTCTGGGTTTAGCAGGCCAATGCTCAAACCACTGAGCTATCCGTCCCCCCAGGTTAGGTTCTATATTAGCAAAGGCAGTGTGCTGTCTTAATGGAATGTACTATATTTGTTTTTCTCACAGAGTGAAATGGATGAGAACCAGATACAAATGGCTGGTGATGATGTGGATTTACCAGAAGACCTCCAGAAAATGGTGGCAGAGGATCAAGTAGAAGAAGAAGACAAGGAGTCTATCCTTGGACAGTTACAGAACATTCAGAATATGGATATAGACACTATTAAAGAAAAAGCTCAAGCCACTTTCACTGAAATAAAGCAAGCAGCCGAACAGAAATGTTGTGTCATGTGAAAGAGAAATCCGAGCTTGAGAGTTTTTGCGAATCATGTGAATTTAATATTGTATCATGGGAGTTGCTGGACGGTACAAGCAAAATTGATGGCATGCCATATAGTTCCAAAGCAATATGTGTACATATGAGAGAGAGAGACTTCTAAACCTCCAGATTTAAATCAATGTAGGCAATGTACCTGCTTAAATAGCACTAATCTAGAGCTGGTCAGCATTTTTCAAACAAAGTTTTTCCATGGAAAAATGGCATTTTCAAAAACAACAACATTTTTCATGAAAAATTGTCAAATTATTTTTTGCAAAAAGTGCTGCCTTTTTTCCAAAAAATGTATTGAAAACATCAAAAAGCTTATAAGAATGGTTTTTAATTTTTTAACCAGAAATTGGGTCTTTGGTAAATGAAAAATGTCTATAACCACTGTGATATTGTTTTCAGAAAAAATAAATCATGGAAAAAATGTTACAAATGAAAATCGGGTCATTTTCAAACTCTTCAGAACAAAAATAATGTTGAAATTTTGACACATTTTGCAAACTAGATTTCCCTTTTTTGACCACCTCTATGCTAAACATAAAAAGAAAATCTTGAAATTTATAACAATGCATCATAGGACAAATGCTTTATGGATTTAGAACTTGCAGGAAATGCTGCACAATCACACAGCTCTGAGTGAATATAGTGATTTTTGTGGTAAGTCAAAGATAGGTGGCTAGCACTAGAGCCAGGAATAACGAATAACGCAAACTTCCTCCAATTACTTTAACTGCTCCTCAATCCTGACCTACAACACAAACTTACTATTACAGTAGTGGGTCTCTCCTGGATTGCCATTGGTGCCGAATGCTGTGGGTTTCTGATGTTGACAAATATCCAGCATAGGCTAAACGGAGATTATTAAATGAAATGAATTTGGTTCTTATTCTACAGGTGAAAGATGCAAAGTATGATCATTATCAGATCCCCAGAAGTGACAGGTAAGTATTTTAACTCATGGTGTCACCTTATACTCCTGCAATCATCTTTGTTGTGCATCTTATACTGTATACACGTGTGGTGTGTTAGCATTTAATCTGATTGAAGTCTGGGATTTGCACAACTTGAATAGTAGCTTTGTTTCTTTTTCAGCTGTTCATTTTTTCTCTCTACTATTTCTCGTGCTTTTCTGTAACTAAGTTACAGTTATTAGACACTGTAGAATATATTGTACTTCTCTTGAAATGTGCTACTTATAAATCTCAGAACAAAGAACCAGTGAGATCAGGAAAGAGGAACCAATGCAATTGTTAGACACGAGTATTTATCTTACCTGCAGTTTTGCAGGTACACCTCTACCCCCATAGAACGCTGTCCTCGGGAGCCAAAAAATCTTACTGCGTTATAGGTGAAACCGCATTATATCGAACTTGCTTTGATCCGCCGGATCACGCAGCCCCGCCCCCCCGGAGCACTGCTTTACCGCGTTATATCCGAATTCATGTTATATCGGGGTAGAGGTGTATTTACAGTGGGCTAAATCCTAAATTCCTTACTCAAAACAAGTTTATGATCAGCTACACCCGTGTCAATTCTGAATAATTCCACTGACTTGCTTCTGATTTACACTAATGTAATAGCAGAATCTGGCCCTTAGGTTTTAGTCTTGACTCAAGCAAAACTTTCATCAATGTCAACCAGAGACTTGCCTGAGTGAAGCCGAAGTAAATGCCAAGAGCCTGATTTCTCCTTTCACTTGCCCTGATATAAAGTGGGAGTGACCGAAGCATAAATGGGGAGAATTAGGTCCTGAATAAGGACTTTGGGATTCGGTCCTGTAATCAGGTGAACACGAAGATATGATTAATCATAATTTGATTGGTTTAGCCCTTTTCATCCCAGAAGTTTTCAAAGCACAAAGGTACAGTATGCAACGACCAGCTTCCAGCTGAGACAAGCTTGGCACAGCCTCTACTGGCTTTGTTACAGGGAGGCATGATTTTGGATCACTTGCTAGAACTGCTGCCTGTGGACCACGAGGTTAGTTAGTCCTCTTCAGTGACTGGCAGACTTGAGGCATTTATTTTTTCTAAAAGAGCCTATAATAAGTGACATTAAATTAGGGACTATGAGATAACTCGTCGATAGCTAGTGCAAAGCATAGTCTTGTGGTTAAGGCAGTGAACTGGGACTCAAGATCAGATTCAGTGCCTGGTTCTGTCACAGACTTCCTGTGTGCCCTTAGGCAAATCATGTACGCTTTCGGTGCTGGAGTTCTCCACCTGTAACACAGGGATAACAACACTTCTCTGTTGTAAGAATACACTTATTAATGCTCACAGGGCTGGCTCTAGGTTTTTTGCTCGCCCCCCCCCCCCCGCCCAGCCCTGGGCTCTCTCTCTCCCCCCTCCCCCTCAACTGCACCCTCCTGCCGCCCCAGCCCTGGGTCACTGGTAGCTCGCTCCCAGGGCGGGTCATTCAGCAGGAATTTTTAATGTGCACAGAACACAGAGAGGATTGGTTCCCATATGGTTACAGAAGTGCAGTAAAGTGGAACAATTTTCAGCTTGTGTGATTGAAGGCTATCTGGATGCATATTGTAAGACTGTCCTACATAAATGAGAAACGTTGAGGTGCCTTTA